GTTACTTATTTCCAGTTTTATAAAAAGAGAAGTATTCCTTTCCCTGTGGATACGAACCTTACTTCATTATACTACGTATAATTGTTGTATTGTATTATTATTTTGAGTGCACACCACGACAAAGTGCACGTCAACAATTCCTCAACATAATGATGATGTTACTGATTTGGATCTAGTGCCTCCTCAGCATGTAGAACCACCTCTTGAAGATAGTGTTCAGAATGATGAACAAAATGATACTATGATATTGATGCTCAAGAACAGTCAGAGGTGGATGAAGAATTTCATTCAGAGATACCGGTACCAGACGTACCACCATTTGTCCCACTTAGGCTGTCTATAAGAGATCGTCATCCCTCCACTCGTTTTTTTAGCTAATGAGTATGTCTTACTCACTGATGAAGGAGAGCCTGGGTGTTATGCAGAGGCCATGGAAGATGAGCAAAAAAGGGATTGGGTTGAAGCCATACAAGATGAGATAATTCCTTACATGAGAATAATACTTTTGAGTTGGTGAAGTTTCCTAAAGGCACGAGAGCTTTGAAAAACAAGTGGGTCTACAAAATGAAGACTTAAGAGCACACCTCACAACCTAGGTACAAGGCTAGATTGGTGGTCAAAGGGTTCAATTAGAGAAAGGTTATTGATTTTGATGAGATTTTCTCTCGGGTCATGAAGATGGGATCTATTCATGTTGTTCTTGGTTTGACAGCCAACCTTGATCTTGAGGTTGCATTGATGGATGTCAGAACAGCTTTTCTTCACGGTGACTTGGATAAAAAAAATCTACATGACATGGAGCAACCTGAAGGTTTTCAGGTTATGGGAAAAAGAAGGTTACGTGTGTGACTTCAGAAGAGTCTTTATGGGTTGAAGCAAGCACCAAGGCAGTGGTACAAGAAGTTTGAGCCAGTTATGGGGGAACAAAATTACCGAAAGATTACTTTAGACCATTGTGTTTTCTTCGAGAGGTTTGGTGATGATGATTTCATCATTTTATTGTTATATTTTGATGATAAGTTAATTGTTGGCAACAATGCAGAAAGAATTACTCAATTGAAGATACAATTGAGCAAGTCTTTTGCTATGAAAGACTTGGGGCCAGCAAAACAGATTCTTGGCATTCGGATCACTCGAGATAGAGCTTGAAGAAGCTGCACATGTCTCAGGAGCAATACATCGAGAAGGTGCTTCGCAGATGCAACATGGATAAAGCTAAAGAGGTTAGTTCTCCTCTTACTACCAACTTCAGTTTGACAGATAAAGATTGTCCATCTTCTGAGAAGAAGAATGAAGAGATGGATAGAGTCCTTTATGCCTCAAGTGTAGGGAGCTTGATGTATGCTATGGTGTGCACACGACCTGATATTGCCTATGCAGTAGGTGTTATTAGTTGTATTCTGTCAAATCCAAGTAAGAAGCATTAGGAAGCAGTGAAGTGGATTGTCAGATATCTACGTGGTACTTCCAAATTGGGTATAACATTTGGAAATGGGAAGTCAGTACTTGTTGGTTATATTGATTCTGATATGGCAGTAAATAAGGACAACATGAAATCCACTTCTGGATATTTCATGACTTTTGCGGTGAGAGTTGTGTCATGCCAATCGAGACTGTAAAAGTGTGTGGTTTTATCCACCACCGAGGCTGAGTATGTGGCTGCAACAGAAGCGTGCAAGGAGCTATTCTGTTCAACACCGCTACATGGTTCTTTGTGATAATCAAAGTAATATTCACATTGCTAAAAATTCTATGTTTCACAAACAAACCAAACATATTGATGTGAGATATCATTGGATTAGAGATGCACTTGAAGACAAACTGTTTGAACTTGGTAAAGTTCATACCAATGATAATGGTGCCAATATGTTGAAAAATATTCTAGCAAGGAAAAAGTTGAAGATATGTTGCTCCATCGCTAGTATGTCAAACTCTTTCTCGTAAGTCAAAAAGGGGAAGATTTGTTGGGTTTTTCTTTATTTTTTGACCCATGAGGAAATCCCAACTATTGAGCCAGTTAAAGTCCTATTTAGACTTTCTATTTTGGGAGCATATGATTAAAACAGGGTCTACCACTATATCAAAATACAAGGATGAGAGCAAGACAGAATTTAGATAGTTTGAACATCTAGGGGCGGAGCCGGGGCACTGGGTCGGACTGAGCCGGAAACAATTTACACGAAATTTTTTACACTAAAAATGTAGGCATTTTTAAATTTGGGCTAGTCCAGGGCCAAGGTCCCTAGCTACGTCCCTGTGAACATCAAAATCGGGAGTGAACTGCTCATCCCGTTTTTCCAGCAGACAACAGCATAAAAGTTCCGTTTCCTGGAGATTGAACAGTCGTATCGCCATGAGTTTTAGATAGCAGCTACAAAGAATCTGGGCCAATATTCTGGACGGTAGGGATCAGGTTTTGAGTCCCGTAGGTTGGGTTTCGTTGGTCTGAACAGTAGCTAACTTTATGGTGATAATTTTTATCTTGGCTCTATTTTGATTCTATACACCTTGATGTGCTTACTTCCAAGAACATCAAAATCTTGCCTCTAGTATTATCTAGAGAAGACTTTGTATTGCTCCTTTGATGAGGATAGTGGATTTAAACAGCCAAAATGGTCTCGTGGTTTTTCCCTAGTTTATGGGTTTTCCACGCTAAAATTGCGGTGTCTTGGTCAGGGGCAGAGCTAGGGGAGGGCCAACCCTGGCCCTGGCCCTGGCCCAGCCCAAATTTTAAAAATGTCTAAATTTTTAGTGTAAAAAAATCCGTGTAATCTTTTTTTTTTAAATATTTTTTGTATCGGCCCAGTGCCCTGGCTACGCCCCTAGTCTTGGTGTTGTTGTGTGCTTACTATTTTAGCTCAATATCTTGGTGCAAAGCAGTGGTATTGTGTGTGTGTGTTCTAGTTGCCTTAAGAACACCATATTTGTTTTCATCCTCAAAAGTTCATTCATGTTAGTAAAATTTAGCCAAATGAAGATTAATTGTGCAGTTATTAGTTATCATTTGTGGTTGTTTTTCCAATCATAAAGTATTGGTCACGTATATTCAGTTTCATGCATAGAAACGTAGGTAAGTGCCCACAAAGTACATAGTGTATGACCAAATTAACATTAGTGCGAGTAGTTTACAGTTTTGGCAGATGACATTCTTCATGTGATCAACACAATTTATGTATGACCTAAGTTCCTAACTATCGCATAGAATCGATTTGCACATGTTTTTCGATTCTGTGTACAAAATATGTACATCAAAGTGTGCGTGAATGATAAATGTTGTTTTCCTTCTACAAATGGCCATATTTAGTTGTTGTTACCTTGTTTCCCATACAAAGATCAATATGAATTCTTCTATCTGTTTAAATAAGCCAAAAAACTTATAAACTAGTAAGAATGAATGACTCAAATCCAGATTTGAAAACTAATTCTTTTTATATTACTCCCTCCGTTCCATTTTGGTTGTCCTACTTTCCTTTTTGGGTTGTCCCAAAATGAATGTCTTGTTTCTTTTTTTGGATGAAATATGTGGTTCTTATCAATTCACTTTATTATACTCAAATCTCAACCACAACTTTTACTTTTCAACCACTTTATTAATAATCGTGCCAAATTGAAAGTGGACAACCATTATGGGACGGAGTAGTATAACCTTTGTGTACATCACATTGTGATTTGTAAATCAATAATACGTTATGAACTTATGATTATGGATTTATGGTCGATAATCTTGACATTTTGTTATAATCATTAACGAGCTTAATGATTATTATATGGGTTAGGTCATAGATATTACTAATTAACAACATTTGGACAAATATAGGACCTCCTCCACTCAATTCTAACAAAGTAGCCATTCGGCAGCATCATTTTAAAAACTGGGATGGAAATATCATACATACCCTTTCTAGCAAACTATATACGTACTACCACCTGTTATGCCTTCACAGGCAATTTCCAAGATGCTACCAACCACATATAAAAGAGATTCGACTTTTTTTGTTTGCAACATTATATTTGACTTTTATACTCATCCCATTTATAATTACCCGGTTACGATTTATAATTACTTGATTCGAATAGTTACAGTTACCTTATCCAACCAGTTGCAGTTATCCGGCTGAATTAATCTCAATGACATTTCTTTCGTTTGTAGCAAAGAAGAAATATCAAGAAAATATGAATTTTAGCAATCCATGAACTAAAAGATTGATCTAGTATTTATAACAGGCCTAAAAGATAGAATTATCAAGCAGCGAAATAGAAAAACAATTATCAACAACAATGACTTATAATTATGATAATAAATTGTGTTTTACTTTAAAATTTAATTTTATAGACAACTTTCATTGAATTTAAGAGTTATATTAAATTTGATTTAACCAATATTAACGTGAAGGGCAAACAATGAGAATGATAAAAACTCGGGGGTAACCAATTGACTTTTGAAAATGCAAGGTTACATTAATAATTATGGCATAACCTTAGGGGCTAATAGTGATTCTCCTTATCAAAAAAATTGTCCTCTTTTGTAAGTGTCACACGCGGCGGCATGTCCCTTCCCACAGACATAACGAAATACTGAGTAAAAAATACTTCTTTCGTCCTGAAAAGTTTGCCAAATTTTCTTTTTTAAATGTTCCAAAAGACTTGTCATTTCCATTTAAAGTAAGAATTGGTTGAAAATTTGGCAACCACACAATTAACATTTAAAAAAGAAAATTTGTGCAGAGGAGAAAGAATTAACCTTTGTGGTTAAAGTTAATTCTCTCTCCTCTACACAAATTTCAACCACACAATTTTTATTTTATTAATTCATATGAAAGTCAAAGTGGGCGACCTTTTCGGGAGAGTAGGAATAGGAACCTCGTATCTGCATTTACTTCCATCGTTTGTGTAGTTAGTTCTGGCCGGCCGGACCAGATTTGTATTGCAGGATTCGCAGCCCCAACTGGGCCCCCACTTCCCTCATTTATCACATTCCTAAACTCAGATTTTCCGCAGTTATTATTATATACTCCGTAATAAATACTCCCTAATAAAAGTCAGAAAGAAAGAAGTGCAGAATTGAGAGATGGCTCTCCCGCAATGCCCATTATTCCCATCATCATCTCTCAGCCGCACCTCTATCTTTCCCCACCAGTTGAACTTCAGGTATAAGCACGTTCCAGTTTTACCCTCCAATGCCCGGATTACCAGGACCTGCTCTGCTGCTTTCTCTGCCTCGCCCAATTCATCCATAACCTCTTTTTCTCAGGTAATACTAATATTAATACTAATATATACTACCTCCGTCCCTGAAAGACTCCGTCCAAAGAATGTTAAGGAAATGAATTTGACTTGAGTATATTGATACATTGTTTAGCATAGATTTGTTTAAATTTAAGGAGGTTGGACTTTTATTTTGGGAAACTGGGACATTCTTTCCCAATTATAGTACTGATTTTCTTAAATTAAATCCCAATTTTAATCTTTTAGGCTTGCTGGGCATCGTTAACCCCTGTTTAAGAAAAGGGAGGAAACTAAAACAGTTTGAGGAATAGACTACTACTATGGTTGCTTGGTCTGGCCTTCATTACAAAATCTGTTTAATGTTTTAAAAAGATATAGATTTACTTTCTTGGATTGCCCCCCCCCCCCTGATGTGGTTTAGTTTGTAGAGTAATTCTTGATTTACTTTCTTTGGTTTTGGATTTTGTGTGTAAGTTGATTGAAGCTTTAATAAGTGGGAAAGACTTGACTGAATCTGAAGCTGAAGAATCTCTTGAGTTTCTGTTGGATGGTGCAGACGAAGCTCTGATTAGTGCATTTCTTGTTCTCTTGAGGGCTAAAGGAGAAACCTATGAAGAAGTAAGTGCATTTTTCTCATTTCCTTAATCACTTCCTAGTGTCTACCTTAGGATTTTAAATTTGTTTCAAAATAGCTACTCTAGATAGAATATCAAAAGAGCATTAGTTGTTTATTTTCCAGACTTTCCCTTCTTCTTCCAGTAACAAATAAGGTAATTCTAGACAATATGATAATACTTTTTGTCTTATCTATTTTATCTAATCTTACCTTTTCGACTTTTTTATCTTTTTAGTCGACCCTGAACTCTTTTGGGACCAAGGCTTCGACGTTGTTGTTGTTGTTGTTGTTGTGTTGTTTTAACATAGGCGTCCATATGCAACGATTTACATTATGAGGATATGGTAGTCATATTATAACTGTTGTGCTGGAAGACTAATGCTTTGGTAGTGAACGAATGAGGTTAGGTGGTGGGAATGGCAAGGGCTATGATAAAACAGTGTAGAAGAGTTGAAGGATTAGAAGGCGCAGTTGTTGACATTGTTGGCACTGGAGGTGATGGCGCAAACACTGTAAACATCTCAACTGGCGCTTCCATTCTTGCTGCTGCTTGTGGTGCCAAAGTTGCTAAGGTCTGACCAATCCCCCTTCCCCCTTTTAATAGAACATTTAGCGATGTTCTTTCTTTATTTCCCTGGTTAACAGTGGTTTGGAACTGGGTAAAGTTAGATATATGTTCAAACTCATTTTTATTTATGTATATCCATTATAAAAGATGGATGAAATTTTTCGGAGCGTTCTGACATATTTTATTTCCCTCATATTTTGTTCAAGGGAAAACCAAATATTAAAATTTTGTTCTCCTTAGTATCCCCTTCCCTTCCATTTCCTGCCTTCTAAACATAGCCCCTAAGGGTTAATTGATGGGAGTCAAAGCTACTTTGATTTCCTTGCAGCAAGGGAATAGGTCAAGCTCATCTGCTTGTGGAAGTGCTGATGTACTGGAAGCTCTAGGGGTTGCTATTGACCTAGACCCCGAGGTTCGTATTATTCAGCTCACATATATACACGCATACATGCATGCATGCATACATACATACATATATAAGGGAAAATTCAAATGAAAAGACGTCTTCCCTTGAAAATTAATGGATGGATTAGATCATTTTATATTTAAAGAATGAGTGCAGTTATTTATAATCATAAATAAGTGCAATTCAAATGTAAAACATATGATGACCAAAGCGAACCACGTCTCTTTTTACCTGAACCCTCCCCGATATATATATATATATATATATATATATATATATATATATATAGGGTGCGGTTCCAGTGAGAACGATGCTTAACGTGAGAACGTGAGAACACTCACATTTAAATCAATGTGGTGCACAATGGAGCTATTCTGTTGCACATTTTCAATTTGGTCGAAATAAGAGTATAATAAATAAACACGGTGGCATTTTTGTAAATACTGTTAAAATGTGAAAATGTGCAATATACAAGCTTCATTGTGCAACACGTTGGGGAAAAAGTGGTGTTCTCACGTTCTCACGTTAAGCAATGTTCTCATTTGATCTTTATTCTATATATATATATATATATATATATATATATATAACTAGCACTATATGCCTATATCCATACTTCTTGATGCATCAGTCAAAATAGTTACTATGGAAGTATGGAGGTCTGCTTATTACTACTTATTATACAATAGGAAAGGAGTCTGCTATAGTCACTCTAGTACTATAAATTCGTTGTATTTATGTGTATAACCATACAAATCTTCTTGATTTGATATTTTTCTTTAGTGTATAGCACTAGGACAGATTCTCTTCAGATTCTTTCCTTGAGCTCCACACTCACAACAGCCTATACATGTAACTCTTGATTGTGAATAGAAAGCATTCACAAATTTGTTATTCAAGTTTGTCATTTATCCATATATCTAACATGTGATCTTCAGTCTTCACGACTTCTCCACATAGTTTTTGTTATTCTCATCTCAATTTTCATTTATTTATTATTTATTATAAACTAAACTAAGAGCTGGATAAGTGTTGGTTGATGTAAGTTATTTATTAGTTTTGCCTTGTATGTAGATATTTAATGCCTTGTGTTGTGCCCACAATGCTCAGGGTTCAGATCCGTCTCCATGGGGAAAAAGGCCAAAGGAAACATGACTAAGATATCCCCTTCCCTGTACCTATTCCTGTTATCCCATTTTACTTTTCCTTGTAACTATTCATGATTCAAATTACATCTTCTTTCCTGACTTCACTTCTTTTATAATTAAGTTGTCATGCTACCTGTTTTGTACAACTTTTGTTGTCGTTATAAATGTGAAAGTCTTATTTTCTTATATTAAATTGTAAAGATTGTAAAATGGGACGGATGGAGCATTTTATTTGGCATATTACAATGCAAAGATCGGATCTTTATAAAAAAGTTCATGACAAAAGTACAAAATTCATTCCCCATGATAATTATATTTGGTTGGATATGGTGGGCGACTAGTTTTCTAATCATGACTACAAATAAAATCAGGGGGTAAAAAAGTGTGTAAATGAAGCAGGAATTGGATTTATGATGTCCCCCATCTACCACCCAGCAATGAAGATTGTTAGTCCTGTCAGGAAAAAACTTAAAGTGAAGACAATATTTAATATCCTGGGCCCAATGTTAAATCCAGCCAGAGTTCCTTTTGCTGTTATTGGAGTCAGCAAAGAAAACCTTGTAAGTTCCCTACTACGCCCTCTCTCCTTTCCTCTTTTTATATATATACTCTCAGAATAAATGTCATCTTACAAGAAATCTTGTAGATTAAACAATACTATACTACCCCTTACTAACATCTAATTACTATTGGTGATTAAATTTGCATAGAGGTCTTTAAAAGGGGGAAATGATGGCAAAATAGTGCCAAGTATTGTCTTGGTTTTATAAAATGACCCAATCTGTAAACCTAAAAAGTCCTCCAAGTGACACTTGTTTGTGAATCCATGGGAGTTTTCCCCCCTTCTAGCATCCATAATTGATATATATTCCACTGTGTAAGTCACAAGTTCTATAATGTCTTATTCAATTCACATAAATTGACGGGGTGGATAATTGTGATATTCAAAAGTAAACACCCTGGGGCGGAGCTAGGCCCGCCGCTCTTCCTTTCGTATATGTATGTGTGCACAAATACTTGTTACTATCAACAAATGTTGAAAAATGAAGTTTTGGCACTCCATGCAAAGATTTGCCCCCATACTCACAAAAAAATAAAGTGAGTGAAAAAACTTCTATGCAAAGAAGAAATGTAAGCTTAGGATGGATCACCTTTTTTCTAAAAGAAAAAATTCTCGCATTTTAGGTCTACAAAATGGCTAAAGCAGTTCAACGGTTTGGCATGAAAAGGGCATTGGTAGTTCACTCAGAAGGCCTAGATGAGATGAGTCCTCTTGGTACAATTCTATTCATGATTGTTATTTCAAGCATAAAATACACATTAGTTTATAGGATCACTCTTTGGGTGAGTTGTAGATGTGCAAGTAAAACTCTTGTTTTGTCAACTTTTATTTTTTATTTTTATGAAAGTGCTATATGGAAACAGGAAGGGGCTCAATCCTTGATGTTACTCCAACCAAGATTGAGAAATTCCCATTTGACCCATGTAAGTATCTTCCCACCATTTACTCTGAAGTCACATTTTCTTGCAAGGTGTCATATATATTACTCTTACTAAAACAATGTTATGTTTCTGATACAACAACGTTATGGACCAGTTTGGTAAGGATCGTTTGGCTGAAATGGCTTGTGGATGGCTAATGTGTTTTGGAGTAGAAAGTGTTTGATTGCATTTATCGCAGCCAAATAATGAACTCAAAAAAGTTACTTATTCTGCAAATAGGCAGAATGAGGCTCCATTTAGGAGCCATTTATGGCTTTTCCCACAGGACAGACAGAATTAGCATAATAACTAGTTATTGACTACTAATTACTAAACAGACTCTTGTTTGGATGGAATGGATGGAAAGCTTTTACTTTTCCAATTTTCACCAAATTGAGCCATTTTAGCCAAATTATCCCTACCAAACGTAGCCCTAAGCCGAAAATGGCTACCAAACAGAACCCACAGTCAAGACTCGTCTGTTATCATATTCATTAATACGATGACCAGAAACTAATGTAACCATTGGATACTGGATAGTGGATTTTGGCATTCCACGCTGCACTTTGGAGAGCTTGAAAGGTGGATACCCCGACTACAATGCTATGACACTTAAGCGAGTTCTACGCGGCGAAAGCGGACCAATTGGTGACGCATTGGTGAATCTCTTCATCTGTTATGTTCATTGTTATACAATTAAGAACAATGTTAGCTGCTCGAGTTGGTGCTAAATATCATTTCTCCAACCTTTCATGTCTTAGGGGACCAATGTAATCCTAAAGGTCCATTTGGATCACACAAATTGCAGGGGAAGAAAATAGAGAGAAGTTTTTGGAATGACTGAGAATTTTGGGGAAAATAAAAATTAAAAAGATAGGCTCAAAATCCTAAAATTTATTTTAGATATTTCATATTTGCTCAAGCTTGTTCATTTATTTATTGACTAATTTATTTCTACTATGTAAAGAATTCTAAGAAGTATAAACCTATGAAATGTTATTTGTCTAAATGGTTAGCTATTTTGTTTTACTTTTCATTTTTCAAGGTAAAACCAAACATAAGAAAACAAAATCCTTTCCCTAACAGTTTCTGAGATCCAAACACACCCTAAAAGTATCCAATTTATGGTATGCGAAAACTTCTACAAATAATTTAAAAAATGTTTCTTTCAGGTGTTAAATGCAGCTGGAGCTCTCTTTGTCAGTGGACTTGTAGAAAGTTTGGGTGAAGGAGTGGATCTTGCTCGGACAACATTACTCTCAGGGAGAGCTTTGGATTCTCTTCATCTTTGGATCCAAGTTTCAAATGTAATGACCCCTTTGTCCATCCCTACTATAATAATTGCTTTACATATTACAAGACTTTCTTTTTCTAAAGCTTACTTATATGGGAAATTACCCTAAATAGGTCTAAAAGCGTTTGTATATTCCAAAATATGATTGTCATGTTTTTATTCCTAAAATAGAAGTAATTATAGTCATGTTTTGGCAATATCAGACTTTAAACATGACAGTATTTTTCAAGCTCGACAGTAACTGCTCCTACTTTGGGAATAAAAACATATAGCCTTATTTTGGAAATGTCAAACATTTTTAGAGTTTTCCGCACATATTCACTCTCTTTTCCTATTTTCCCCATTCAGAAAGTCAAAGAGTCGTCACATCTCAGGACTCTAAGCATTGGCCCCCACTAAAGTGGGCCCGGCTAACTCTTAACGAATTTTACAACGATGGTCACTCCAAAATTCAAATGCTTGGCCAGCTGAGGAGAGCACCTATCCTGCTTCTTTTCCTTGGGAATACCATCATAATAAAAATTAACATTAGCCTTATATGTTTTTTTGGTACAGCAGGAAATAATATTAGCCTTTATTGTCACTGTACAATTTATAGAGAAATGGTTTTGAAGGGTTATTATCAGTTTATTACTGTGCATTTATTTCTAGTGCTACAACTCTACTGGTCATATTGTACTAGTAATAGTAATAAGAAAAATATATGGAGCACCCTACTCTCACCAAGGCCGGCCCAAGCCAGAGGCAACCAGCCCACTTGCATAGGACCCATAGTTTTTGAGGGACCAAAAAGAATATTTAATACCTAGTACTAGTATTACATACTCCGTAATTGTCAAGCCCGAGTCCAAGGAAATAGAAAGAGAAGGAAATAACGGAAGAGAATGAAGCGGGAAACATAGCAACAATGTCAAGAAGTTAACCGATTGGAGAGGGATTTGATAGACTGCCATGGTCAATAATGCCTCTTTCGTCTTGCGTCACGAGCCCGCTGCCGCGCCCTGCCTCCAGACTCCGGGACTAAGAGGCGACTAGTCCAGCATGAACCAGCCATTCCAGAGGGTCTCCCTTTGCGTTGGTGGGTAAAATCGGGATGCTTCGAGGTGGATGGACAAACCTCTTCTCCCTTCCCGGTGGCTGTTAAAACCTAGAATTTGATTTATGTTGTTGCTTTTATTTTAATTTCAATTCTAGTAGCAGGTTTAACGTTGTTGTTAATGGAGTCTACTACATTGTGGGGTTAGCGAGTTGGGCCGCTCTTATGCATGATTACAACTCTGAGTCTCATCTCAGTGTAGCCTTTGATATGATGATTTTGTATATAGATCTTGTTTTTAATATGAATTAAGTTATCTTTTTCAAAAAAGAAGTAAAAACTAAAGGCCGATGAGAGTAGCAATGAGATAGTCGCCTACAACCCTCAACCATAATTAGGAGTTCATCGATCATCTTCTTCCGGATTGGGGAATTCTTTTCATCATATGAATTGTAGTGTGTTGTAGATTGTGATTGCAATTCTCCTAGAGTAGCCACTTTGAGAGTCGATCGCCACTATAAACCTTAGCAGGCAATCATCTTTATCTTGATCCGCTCTTGGAGATTCTTGGTAGGGATATGATCCAACTTGATTGTTCTTCTTTTGTTATTGTGTTTATCCTGTTTTATGGTGTTCTTTCTCGGGCTCTGGCATTATGGTGTGTTTTGTCTCCCATGTGAGTAGTTTCTGTAGTGTCCCGATCAGCTTCGCCTGGTTACGAGTTTCTGTTTGCTTTCTTTTGGCTACGTAGAGAAGGGTAGAGCCGTAGAGGCTTAAAGATTATTTTTGACTCCATTGGTTTCTATGTCTATTCGGAACGAAGAAAGAAAAAGAACTTAGTATTCATCCATATGACAGCAGTTCGGCCTCCTTCGGAACCACCTCCATATCTGGAAGAGTTTTGTGGAAAGATTTTGTTCCATTGCTATTTTTTTTTAGTAGTACTTGTTTTTGTTTTTTATTCAAGTAAGTTTGGTTAAGTTATTTGGATATTTGGAATATTTATGATACACAGGCAGACAATGTTTTGGTTTTGGTTGTTTTAGGCTTAAATTTGCCCATTTCGTGTCAAGCAAGTCAGGTTTCTTTGTATGAGATGACTGACTATGTCTATTTCTAAGACTTACAATCAAATCTGTAATAACTGTCTGAAAGTTGTGATGTATGCTTTTTCGATATCATTATAAAAGCCGCTCTTTTATATCAAAAAAGACACGTTCAACAAATCCAATCATCAGCCAAAATTATAATAATCTCAGCAAATTAAATCACTTCAAGCATATTACATGTTAAATCTTACCAAACAGGCTTTGGAACTAGGCATGGACCAGTTCCGGGCCGGGCTCCGGGCCGGTCCAAACCGGGCCTTTTATATCTGGGGGAAGGTCCGAAACCGGCCCAGGCCGGCTCAAAGTTTTTTGTTGCTTTTCTAATTAACCCCTGACCCTCCCCGCCCCCCCCCCCCCCCCCCCCCCCGACCCCCCCGCCCCCCAAAACACGCAACCCAACCCGGGAAAAACAAAAAAAAATGGAAAAAGAAAAGCCCGGACCGGGCCCGGCTGGGCCGGTTCATCTTTTAGCTGACCCGGAGCCCACTGTACCATAACCCCGGTTTGGGCCACCCAGACCGGTCCAAGACCCGGATACCGGACCGGCACAGTCACGGGCCGGTTTACCTGGAACCGGTCCATCCCTATCTGGAACCCATGAGCTTCAAATAACTTGTTTAAAGTGCCACTAATTCTATATAAGCAGTAAAACCCTCTTTATCAAATCCAAAATCGTGTGTAATGTTTTCGTGTTAGTAATATCGTGGTACAAGAATATTCTTACCTACCACAGACTACAAAGCAATTGCAGATTTACATTTACGAGTGCCTCTCATATTTGCAAATTGCAATGGCTGAACAATGCTTCCTAATCCTCAATCTCAATTTCAGTCACAAATTTATCTATACAAACCAACCATTATGAAGCATCGAAATAGACTAAAGTATATAGTACAAATGACCGAGCTAAGGTATTTGCAGTGTGAAGATCATGGTCCAAGTCAGTAGTGGCAGCACATTGATTATTCCAACTACAGCAGCCTCGGCTAATCAGATTGCTCCTCAATCCATTTCGGAACTTTCATGCCAAATCCACATCGTACTCGTTCAACGCTGTACATTAACAACTACTTAACACTTTAGTAGTTAACACAGTAGACTCTATTGGGAAAGAACATAGAAGACAAATTGCAATGGCTAGTATTATCAGATGGCCATTGATTCTAATTTCATGTGAAGCATTAGGCAAAAACGGAAAACGGCTGGAACTCAAAAAAAAGGGAGGAAAACATTAGAGAAATTTGGAAGAAAAGAAGGTGAATGGGAAAAACTGGTTTGAATTAGTTCAAACTTTTTTTCTTCTCGGAGTATATTAGTGTTATACTCCGTATTAGAGATGCCAGAGCTTGAATTTATTTTACTAGGGAATCAAAGCTTCATAGTTTGACATATCTTTATATAGATTATGAATGCTGCACACACACACACATAAACTAGAAAAGAAAATGTGGGCCCCCGTGGTCCTCTCAATCTCTGCGACTCTATACTATATATAAACATATCTATGAGTGTCAAAGTTTTAAAATTTTTATCAAATTGGATCCTCTGATGTTTTTTAAGGTAAACCCGAACATTATACATATAAAAAAGTACGGAGTACTTAGTACTTTATGTCCTTTCTCTACCATTTCCGAGTTCCAAACACAGCCTTGATGTAATTAGCAGAGATGGGAAAACTTACGTGGGCGCAAGTTTGCCAAGACTATCTAGTTCTTGACCGGTTTGTTCATCCACAACTTTTCCAGATATCTCAATGAGATATGACTTGTTTTCTGTGATGGGAAGGCCTCGGCTAACAAGAATATTTAGATCTGTTTCATGAAGTTCTCGCCCATTCACAAAGACTCCAGTATTTCCAGCAGCACAATGTTTTGGCATGGGATAATTGAACTCCTCAATATTTGGCTACAAAAGATTTATGTGATTCATCAGTATCAAATGAGACATATGGTCTGATTTGAAGTGTTAGAGAACTAACTGATTAATCTCACCGGAATGATTCCAAGGCAAGGATGGCCTATTACTCCCCAAAAGCCGGCTCTCACATCATACCTGGTTTAGACATTACAAGAACTCTCTAGTGAGTAACTGAGAGTAATTACACCAAATAATGTGACAGGCTTTGGTTTACCCACTCCCATCCAAGATCAAAAGGCTTTTTGATCAATGTACAACTTTTGAATTGCGGCAAGCTACAACCGTCATGATAATGAAGGGGAAATTGGAATTGCAGCCCACAGCTTCAATCAAATTTGAGTTTGCGCCACATTTCAAAATTATTAAATCGAAACCCAAAGCAAGAAAATCTGTTAATAGTGGGGTGCGAACTTCAATTATGAAGAAAATGTTGGGTGTGAATTCTCAAATTTTGGGCAAGTATTAATGATTCCAAAGATGGGGTGCAAACTCAGATTTGAATGATAAATGGGTTTCAAATACCAATTTTCCCAAAATATGTATCTTTACCTATGAAGCATGCAAACCCTCGGAAAGAGTACTGCGAAAACCCTTAAGAAAATCTCCAAACAGTCGTTTTTCTATTCAAAGATGACATTTTTCGTTTAACATTTGTCCATATATCCAAGGTTTCTGAGCAACATAGATCCTCCCATACATCTAAATTTTATACGTTAGTTACCTAAGTTTAACAAGTAACTTGTCCATGACTCTTTTTTGCACCTTCTTTTTGAAAATTACATGAAAAATAATTTTGCTTGATCAGGCTAGACACTACATTTGAGAAAGCATTTGAAATAGGATTATTTTGGACAGATGGAATAATGATGCTAAGGCAAAAAAGTTCTTTATTTCCTTCGCAGGTGGACTTACCAGTACTTGCCTAGCTGAATAGGTCCAGCTAATTTTTCTGCCCTTTTAACTTCCGGAGCTGGAATGAGTTGTCCATTAACAAACACATTTGATCTTCTGTCTTCTAAAATCTGACTAGACATTCCGGAACTGGATAATTCAACAATACTTCCTTTTATGTCTTCTTGAAAGGATTCACTGCCATTTTGATCATTTAATTGATCATAGTCCTTACTCACTTCAAAGGATTCAACAGACACTCTACTGTTTTCAGATTCATTCATTGATATATCCATTTCAGGTTCATCTTTCACAGAGCTCTGTTTCTCTTTTTGCTCATGGGACCATTTAGTGACATTATCATATCTGCTGGCCGCATCATCTGAATCATTTGTGTTGGGAAACTCCACAGGGAGAGAATAGTCTTTTCCCATTTTCCTGGGAGATGATGAAATGATTCCCTTACCACCAAGTTCATATACAATGATGGAAGAACAAGATTCACACCTCATTTTGTTCCGGTTCTTCCCCATCGTCCTGAGTTTCACAGGCAGTCTTAATATTTCTTTGCACTGGCAGCAAGTTATGAAAGGAGCACCACCTGATATAGCAATGATCACCTTTTTTGGACGACCGAGATCAGTCTTTTCTGCTTGAGAACTTCTTGGACGCCGCTGTTGATTATATAACCAATCATCAGCACATTTTAGCACATGTGATCTTTGGATGCCACACTCTGGAGGTGGGACCACCTGATGAGCTTCCCGGTTTTGGTGGTAGTGGTTTTGGGGGTTTTGTCGCAATGGATATGTGTTTAAGTCCATATATGGATCATGGCATCCACTATGATAACACATTTGTGGAGGATGTTGACAAGGCTGTGTGATATGTGGATGTCCTCCTAGGGCATGGCGACCTTGACCAAGAGGTTTTTTATTCACACCAAACAAGCCCTGCCTATACACATCACGGCCACGGTAAGAAACTGTCCCTTCTTGATTAGGACTCTCAGCTACTTCACACATTCTTCCGAGTTGGTCATTTAGCTCGCCAATCTTCCGGAGTAGCTTGGCCTTGTCGTACTCCAGACCAACATCTCTACCATAGCCATCATAGTTTTTCCTATAGGGATCATATTGTGGAGATGCCTCCATGGGTATATAGCCATAAGAATCCAAAGGCACATTCCTTTTGCCGCCTCGTTCTAGCCTGTTCTTAGACAACTCATACTCATCTCTATAGATTGACCTATCACTTATAGGTTGACGAAACCTAGTACGAGCCGATACCCTTTCCCTCTTTCCAACCCCAATTGAATCCGCCGAATCAACTCCATTCCTATTCCTTAGAGATGAGGGGTTATGCAACTCTAAAGTCATATTTGCTTCCAAACCACCATTTCTCCTTTCATCAGTTTCATAAGCATTGTCTAATTTCACTGCAATGGTGGCTTTACCAAACACTACCCTACCAGCTCCATCGCCTGATTTACCTGACAATCCATCCTCCACAAGCCCTTTCCTCTTTGCTGCAATATCTAAAAACACCGCAGATCAATCCTTAGTCTTCTAAAAAAGAACACATTTTTATCATACAAGAACATGAGAGAATTTAAAGCTCCAACCCAATTTGGGAAAAGTGTGACATGATCAGTAATTACTAAGATCAAAGTAAATAGGAATCATTCATTAAACAAAACAGTGGATACCTCGGAGAACGGCGCCGCAACCCCCACACTGGTAGAGAGGAAGGTCAAGAAACTCGGGGAGGATATTTCCACACCTCGGGCATCGGACTAGCAGACCCTCTGAAGAAGATGAAGTAGAAGAAACTCCTGCCATTACCAAATGAAGAGCAAAACGATGGAAATGGAAATTGATGAGCAAATGCAGGTATGGGTTTGCGTTGTTTGGGAATTTTCAGGTGAAACTAGGAACGGGAAACTGAAAATAGATGGAGTCAGGAATAGAAAAACACGGCTGAAATGGGACACAAAAAAATCCGCGTTTTGAGTTTCTGGAGAGAGAGATGGGAGGAGGAGGTGGATGAAGAAAGGTTCAATGTGACTTGACTTGTTCCCATAAAAAGGTTCTTCTCATACTGAATTCTTAGTCTCGGTAGATACAAGAGTTTTCTTTATTCGGTCCCATTTCTTGAAAAAGTCAACACTCCCATTACTCCGAAAGTATTACGGAGGAGAGTACTTCTTACGTAGTATTCTTACGTTCAACCATTCTTGGTGTACACGTTTTTGTACCCATCAGTACACGCATGTGTCTGTGAGAGTTTTTTTTTGTCTGTGAAGTGCGGTCCACAGACAAAAGCTGGTTTGTTTTGTCTGTGAAATTTTCCACAGACAAAACAAGCGAACTTATGTCTGTGGACCGCACTTCACAGACAAAAAAAAACTCTCACAGACACATGCGTGTACTGATGGGTACAAAAACGTGTACAAAAGGAATTTTTGTCTTACGTTAGCCATGCGAATGTTTCAATCACTCATTTACCCAAAGCTTTTGATTTAAAAAAAGTTAAAAAGAGTGTTTTTAAATGACAGCTTCTGCTTAAATTAATCACTTAAAAGCTAAAAGTTGGAAGCAGGTAGAAGGGTGCTTTAAACTGCTTCTCACTTTTTCTATTACACAAAAAGTACTTATTTTACCAAACACTACCAACTTTTACTTTTTCAGAATCACTTTTTCTCAAACACTATCAACTTTTACTATTAATCACTTTAAAAAATCACTTTTTTAAAGTTGAAGCAATTGCAAACACTCCCTACATATAGTCCCTCCGTCCCTTTTTAGTTTGTTCAATTTTGATCGATTATATATTTATCCACGATAATATCGATAATAAAGAAATTATATAAAAATGTTTTTTGTTGAAATACTATCATAAAAGTAAAAATTTAATAACTTTTACATAAGTATATTAGTTAAAATAATGGATCCAAGTTTATCATCTTTGATTGGAAAAGTCAAAGTTGTCAAACTAAAAAGGGACGGAGGTAGTAATTTTTTATTTTATTGAATTGAACTGTCTAATAATCAAATTAGTTATGTCAGGCACGCATTAGCGGAGTAGAGAAAGAGAGGCTCTAACATCTCTCTAACCCTAATCAACGTTTCTCCCTAGCGGCCTTGTCGTCGCGTAGGGTTTTGTCTCCTTAGCGGCTTTGCTGTCGCATAGGGTTTCTTTCCGCCAATTGTTTGTGCGGTTCTTCTTCTCTAGGCTTCTTGAGTGCTTTTTAAGAAGGTGTGAGTGCGGCTGCATCCTTTGGAAACGAATCCAAGGTTCAAGAAACGATAATCATGTCATCTATGAATGATCTAGAGCAGTGTTGTCTCATTCCTGCAATTGAGGAGGAAGTCGAAGGGTTAGTTTCTGGCGAATCAACATGGGTAGAGGGCGGTGGTGACAGTGGAGGCGGAACATGCGACGAGAAGACGGGGAGAGGTGAAGGGCTGAGCAAGGGAGAAGACAAATCGGCAGTCCATCCACCTCCTGAACCGCCGCCTTGGAGCGATCGAGGTGCTAGGGTTTGGAAGATTTATCAGTTATTTAATTTTTTATGGTTTTATTTTCGCGTTATGTTTTATGTTGCTCTATTTTTGTTGATGTCTTTAGTTTTAGATCTACAATTATGATTGACAATTCTGCTAGATATTATGTCGTTAGAAGGGTCTATATGGTCAGTGACTGTTGTGTCACACCCGCTTGGTGGTTAGCGATTCGTATTGCTCTTTCGGAGGTGATCGTTTCTGAGTCTAGCCGTGTAACACCCCGACCCCGTAGGACCCGAGGTAGTTACTCTGGACCTCCAGTACTGTCCCCACAAACCACCACAAGCCTTTACCGTGCACTTTGTCCTCACTCATGCGCGCCCTGAGAAACTTCCCAAGGGGTCACCCATCCCAAGACTACTCCCGTGCAAGCACGCTTAACTTTGGAGTTCTTAGCGGATGAGCTCCCGTAAAAGGAGATGCACCTCTGTTGGTATGAGTAGTACTATTAATCCGTTTATATTAAATCTCAAGTGTTACAAGCCGTGGGGTTGATAGTGATAGTTGGTCAGGGATAGTTGTTGTCAGGGTTAGTCTTTTTGAGTTTGTTGTAACAATCCGGTTCCTAATGATATTAATATAAGTGGTTTATTAAGTGGTTTGTTTTTATGATAAAAAAATCAAATTAGTTATACTCGTTTGGTTAGGTGCGCCAGGGCATTGCGAACTCTCCCTCTTCGTAGGGTTTGGTAAATTCCGCCGATTGAGTGCGGCTAGTGCAAGGAGACCGGACGAAGACGAAAGCAGATGGTGACGGATGGATTCAATCAGCAGGTGACCGGCGATCAATATGGAGCAGATGAGGAGAGCCCAGCAACGACGGGCACGGGCAACGTGGAGAATTGATCGATCAATATGGTGGTATGGGTTTGGGTCACGAGGCAGATGAGCTACTGATCGACGATGATGATGACTCTGAATTGGACCCCAGGGCGAAGGGGAGTGAGGTAAACACCTTCCCTGTAGTCGGCACAATTCTTACAAATAAGGTGGTGAAATTTAAGATATTTCTTGATCTGATGGCGACCCTGTGGCGTCTAGGCAAATGTGTGTTGATTCAGGAAATCAGCGAGAGGGGGTATTTATTTACATTTTATCACATTGTTGATATGAACCGTGTGCTGGAAAATGGACCGTGGTTGTTTGACCAAAACCTGTTGGTGTTAAAAGCCATCAAACCGGGGATATGCCCCTGAAGGTCCCTTTAGACGTGGCTGATTTTTGGGTACAGGTACACAATGTCCCGTATGGCTTTTCGAATCTAGGAAATGCCCGTAGAATTGGAAATCATCTGGGGAAATTTATTTCCTAGGAAGATAAACAGTTTGATGAGAAATGGGAAGCATACATGAGGGTCAGGGTGTCCTTGGATGTGAAAAACCCCCTAAAGGTGTGAACAAATTTGAAAAAGAGCAAGGGAGAAAGCTAATGGGCTGACTTTAAATACGAAAAACTTTCTAGTTTTTGTTTTACATGTGGTATTATAGGCATGCTGAGAAGTTTTGCCCCTTATTGTATGAAAAAAGGCATAAAACTATTGTGAAATTGTTTGGTCCGTGGTTGAGGGCGTGGGAAGGGAGATCTCGTCCATCTATGGGCAACAAGTGGTTGATAAGCGAAGGAGGCACTAGAAGAAGTCCAAGTGGGTTGGAAGGGAAGCAGGGGCAGAACCAGAGCTACAAGCAAATGGAGCCCCAAAAAGAAGCGGGATTTTCAAAAAATGATGATGTGAGATCGAGCAGCAGCGGATTGGGAGAGGGGAAGAGGAGGCGAACCTGGGATGCGCAGGAGCAGGAGCAGGAGCACTCTGAGGAAGAGGCCATGGCTCTTGATGAATCAAAAAACAGGGAAGAGGCGGGCCGGAACTCCCAAGCCCGCCAAAGCTCTTGAAGATCTGGCGCTATTTGAAGATTGAAGTTATTTTTAATTCTATACTTATTTTATTTCTCGTTGATTTTTGTCTCGGGCACCATGTCTTTTTGTTTACTTCTGCTTTTATTCTTTTTATAAGACTCTAGAACATAAGTCAGGAGATTGGGAGTCTAGTTTGCCAGCCATTGGCTCAGGTAAGCCTAATTCAAGATCAGCGAATCTGGTTGCTTCATTTGAGGTGGCAAGTTCTAAGTCTGGTTCAAGGGTGTACGATAGACATTGGGCTTTTTGTCAGATTGTATCCGGTTTATGTTCTCTCTTATTGATATAAGCCACCTTCTTCCAAAAAAATTCAAATTAGTTAAAAACATTTCTAGCTATTTTTCATATAAGTTTTCTTCATTTTATTAATAAAAATATATTTTAAATATAATTTTTTCATAAATCAACTGAATCAGCCAATCCAATCATTTCAACCAAAATTTCATAAATTTCAGCAGAATCATCGAATTTAGCCAAATTCAATTTACCTAACGGGCTCTATGTTTCTAACTGAAAGTAATATGATTATTTACAAAATAATTAAATAAGATTATTTGTGTATGTTTTGAGAGGTATCCAATAATAAAATGAAATCATTGATGATTATTGTGATGTTATATGTGTATTATTTTTATTTTAATACAGAGTATTTGATAACTAAGTTCTAATTTAAGAGTGCTAATTATTTTCTTAAAAGAATGAGAACACTTAATTGAGACGTCTAAAAGAGACAAATGAGAAGAAAGTTTAAATCAGATGGTAGCCGAGATAGATAATAAAGTTGTGCTTGCTGCCAAAGATCACACATATGAAGAAGGTTTAGAATATTTTGATACTTTCTCCCCCATTGTTAAATAAACAACAATTAGACTTATTCTTGCTATAGCTGATAGTAAACATTAATTTTTATATCAATTAGATGTTCATAACATTTTCTACATAGAGATTTGTTAGAAACTATATATGCAACCCCTGCATGGATACCTAACTCATGGTGACAAAAGAGTATGAGAAAATGATCTTAGGAGAGAAATTGGAATAAACGTGGATACCCTCTATTTCATAAATCAAGTGTGTAGATCAGAATTTCTCATTTGCAATATATTCAAGGTATACATTTTTTGAGTAAGTACAATCCTACTAGGAGAGCGAGCAACTTCAATCCCAAGGAAGTGCTTAAGTGGACCAAGGCCTTTGATGAAGATATTGCTTAGAATGATATACGTGTGTAACATTGTTCCCAACAAGCAGTACATAATCCACATGTATTCAGGAGGGCATTGGTATAATTATTTCCTTAGCGATAAATGAAAAGCGAGTGATCGGCCCGGGACTGCTAAAAACCAATCTACGTCAATGTTGCGGTGAATTTTTCATACCAATTTCTAAAAGCTTGACGAATGCCGTATAAATATTTTTGGAACTTGCATACTCGAGTGTCACCTGGTTTGGCAAAACCTTGCGAAATAAACATGTATACATCCTCATGCATGTCTCCATGTAGAAAGACATTGTTTACATCAAGCTGATGGACTAGTCAGGCACATTTGACCGCAACCACTAAGAGACACTGGACGGTGACTAACTTAGCGAGTGGTGCAAAGGTTCCCTCAAT